CGGCTGCTTTCGACGGTACATTTATCTCAACCACAATGTCAAAACACAGTTCATGTTGACATTGCTATCAACACTTGTCTTATCAGCATTCGAGCTTTCTCAGCTTACTTTTACGTATCAACATGATACGTCTGTAGGACTGGACTGGAAATTCCTGGAGCCTCTTCCTGCCCAGGCCGCATACCGCCAACTCGCAACAGCTCCCCCCTGCCTTGGGTACCCTGGCCGTCAGATTAGGCTTCGACATTTTCCCAAACCTGTCCGGAATTCATGTGGGTGGTTCTCTAAACTAGGGTCCGTTTCGGGGTCCTTAATTGGGGATCTAAAACCCAACGCACTGCCCATGTGTACCTTGAGGCACCTGGTGGGAGAGTTCCGACTTTCTTTGAAAAGCCCGTCGCGTGCTTGGACAAGATCCTTCTCTTTATCGGGGCAGTGCTGAGCTCACTCCTTTTCGCCGTGCACAACATGCTGTCAAGCCCGTGGGATTTGATCTACGTGGCAGCGGGATGCCTGCTTCTACCAGCCGCCTTGTCGAGAAGATCGGGTTTTAACCTAAACCCTAAACCCTAAACCATAGACCTCATTCATGCGAGAGGGAAAAAAACCCTAAAACCCTAAAGCCCTAAACCCTAAACAAGCTCATTCCGGGGGTTTTGAAGACCACGTCGCAAGACCTTGGTCCGATCGAAGCCTGTGACATGCGTCCATCCTGACAGCCCGCGAGACTCCACCGTGCCATTGTCTCGTCTTATATTCTCCTATCCCACCCTATCTATCTATCTATCTATCTGTCTATCTATCTATCTATCTGTCTATCTATCTATCTATCTATCTACCTACCTATCTACCTATCTATCTATCTATCTATCTATCTATATGCGATAATATAGTTACTATCCCACCATATGATATCATATTGATATTGTATGAGAGCTCCTTGACCTGACTGAGGTCACCCTTTTTCTCGTCATTCAGAGGAAAGCCGTGACCCAGCCTCGGCCCCGAAAGGACGACGACACTTACAAGGCGGGGAAGCCTGGTTTCACTCCGGCACTGTTCCGAAGCCTCCAAACTCCAGGGCGAGAAAACGCCAAAACCCGAAACCCTGGACTGGAGTTATGGGGCGTCCTGCCTTCCGACGGAACAATGCTCACCTGCCCTGTCTGGACGCAGCCCTAAGCCAGTCTCAGGTGTACAGGAAATGGGCTCGTACGACTTACGGCGAGAGCGACTCCACCCTTGTGGCTTTTCAGCAGCCAGGGCGTGTCAAAGAACCTGGAGCCTCATAGGTTTTGCTACAGTGGCATCGGGTGTTTCTGAAGCTGGCAGGATCTCCTTCGCTTCCGCATGGAGGGTGCTCGGTCGGGGGGGAAGGCTCGGTTGGAGTGTCTCGGGCCGGCCGGCAGCTGCCGCGCCGCTGCTGACAAGGGCGGCGACAGCTGCGTGTGCTGCCTCTCCGCTGCTTGTCGACAGTTCGTTCCGGCTGTCCCTGTGACTTGGAAAATCGGCGTGCAGATAGAATCAAGCATTCCCGAGCTCAGGATTTTGAGGCAGGCGATGCAGTTGCAGTCCTTCCCTGCGGACACATGTTTTGCGAGGCCGAGACAGGGTCCTGCCCGCCCTGCCAGTTGCCTGACAGGTCAACCCCTTAGACTCCTGTAGCCTTCAGCCAGGATTTCCCATGCCCTCAACATTCAATACCGATAGAGTGCAATAGAATGCACGCTCCAACGTGGAGAGCAGGCCTGTGTTGTGAGCTGGTCCTTCTCCGGTCGAGCGGCTTCGAGGCACTGTCCAGTTTGCCGGGCCGTGGCCAGGCAGAAATCACAGACTTCTCGAGTGCATGTGCGCGTGCAGAGAAACCCCCACACACACACAAGCTTGTGGGCAGGTAGAGAGGCATCTATGGGCTAACCTCACCCCACAGCACAATGCCCACGGTCTTTGAGCTCAGGACTACCGGGCGAGACGCATAGAGTCAGCATAGACCCGCGCAGTGGCAGAACTTGCGCGGCCCGAGCTCGACAGAGGCTGTTGGCAATTCGGGAATAGCCACATGATTTAGTGGGTGCTGGAACGAGCATGCCAAAAGAAGCTGCTCAGGCGCACAAATTTGAATTCAGCAAGTTTCTAGGGGAGCTCATGAGATGGAAAGACATCTCAGCAGCCTCCACTTCGGTGCAAATGTTTGTCTTGGCACTCCCAGTGCCTAATTCAGTCTTCACGACTGCGCAACAAGATGCTGCAAGCAGGCAGATTTCGAAGTACTGGTAGTGAAGTGGCTTACACACGGTAGGCCGGCAAGGCTGGCAAGTGCTTGTATATAGTTTGTCCAAAGCTGATTTTGGGCACTGGCGCGACATGACTCGTCTTGAAGTGTTTAGTCCTGAAAGAAGAAGTTGGAGGTGCATGCGCAGAGGCCACCTAGGCCGGAGTATGCAGTCCCCGACGCCTGGAAGGAACTCCGGGAGTCTGTTTATCAGAACTCCGGCCTTGATCCTCTTCGCCGAGCCCTGAGCCTTCCGAAGCTTCCGGCATTTCGGAGGCGTCGTCGAATCGTCGGCCCTTGGAAGCAAGCCTTGCTAAATTACAGCCTGAAGCCGGCAAATGCCATTGCTGGGCTGAAAGGCGCCGAGGAAGGCTCCGCCTTGTCCTCAGCCTGCCTTTGGGCTCATGCTACGATGCGACACCCTCTGGTGCTTTGATCGAAGGGAGTCATGTGGCTAAGAGAAGCCGATGACTAAAGGCTCCCTTTCAGGGTAGCTACACAGGCCGGAGATTCACAGTAACCTGGAACAAGAGCCTTGCTTCAGATCAAGGTCTGCGCCATCTGCCTCGGAGGCGTCACTGAGGCTTCGCTCATGTGCATCGAAGCTGCATGCAGCCGTGCATGCTCGTGTGCAGACGACGGTTGTGGCAGGTGTAATAGCAGTTGATATCCGAGGCTTCTTCAACTGAAGCGACTAAGCCTACCGGACCTACCAACTCTGATACGCAGACTTCCCAACGGATGCCAGAGTCCGAACGACTGGCCTGTGATGCAGTGACTGCCTGCCACCGCAGGTGGTCGGGTCCGATGCGCCAGAATCCGATAGTACCGTCGAGCACTCAAGAGTTTTGATGAGAGATCCGGTGCTTGCTGGCCTTGGAAGCTGCTCCACAAGGCAGATTTACCTTATAACTGTTGCCTGCTCGCAGTTGCGAAGCTCCGAAACCACGAGCACGACGAATTTTGATGACCGGGCAGATTGACGTTTTTCCTCGAGAGTTACAAAAGCTCTACACACGGTAGGCTCCCAGGGAAGAAGAGAGAGACACAACTGGAGGTCCAGCGGGTGATCCGACTTGCTTGGCATCGCCCTTGGTTTCCGCGAGTTACGCTCAGGGAAAGAGATGATCCGGGTATTGTCACAGGCGCAGGCTCCCTTGTGGCCATGCACTCCCGTCCAGCTTGTTGGCAGGAACAAGCTTGACCGGCTTGACTTGAAGCCTCGATGATAAGTTGAACTGAGCGATGGCAGGCTTTCCACAAGAGCTGCGTGCTTCCCTGGATCCGCAGTGGCAAGTTTGAAGCTCGGCTTTCTCCCGAGCACAGGAGCCAGCAGCCTGTGACATGACAGTGCTCCTTTCCAAGGTCGTGTCCCTTGGGCCGCTGCACCGTGTGCTGGGCTTACGGCCTTGATGGACGGGCAGTTTGGGGATCCCTGGCACCGACAAGGCCAGCAGCTGCACGTTTGGGACGACGCGAGATGATCTTTCCAACCCAGTCGGCCGGGAAGCCCACCCTGGCTGAGTTTGAGGGATGGGGTGGGCTTCTGAACGTGGGCAGCCGCCCAGCTCGGGAGATCCCGACTCCCGACTTCCTGTCAACAAACAGGGTTTGGGCCTCTTAGCTCTGCAGCAAACCTGAATCGGAAGCACAGACTTGAGCCCCTCCTTGCACGAAGTTTGCTATCCGCAAGCTTTTTGTATCCGTGAATTAATCAAGATGCTCAGGCTTGGAAAGAGTTGCCGCCTCCTTCTCAGCTCACTGAAGCTGCAGACGCTTTGAAGACAAGAGTGGCTAGACGAAGATGGCTTGCGCTGAGGCAAGATGTCGTAGCCAAGGACATTCTTGGGTTCAGCTGGCTACTTGAAGCCCGCATTTGACTTTTAGCTGCTGCTTTGCATGCAGTGCCCCATGCTCAAGTCTCAGAGGATGGGTACTGTGTAAGTTACAGCCAGGCCTTTGCAAGAAATGCGACACTTCGGGGAATGGAAGCTGCGCGCCGCATACCCGAGACATGATATGCTTCAGGTTTCGCAAAATTGAGCAGAAGTTGGATGATAAGAGTCCAGGAGTGCTGTGCAAAGTGTGCTACTGTAAGGCCCCTCCGCATGCACGAAAATGCGTGGGTCTCGGACTGGGAGTCACCCAGACTGCCTGGAGAGCAGTGAAGCCACCCTGAGAGCCATTTGAACTTTCTTCGACTCCGCACATTGTCAAAGGCTGTCAACTAGATGGCGAGGAGCTGCACATTACACGTCCACAGCATGGCCCGAGCATGAAGCGCAGCGGTTGGATGTCCGTGAAAAGCAACAGCAACGGTCAGCAGTCAGCACGCGGTATCCGCCAAAGCCAACTCTCGGAATCAGCAGATGCAGCAATGTAGCAATTGAAGCCCCAGCGGCCATAAGGAGTGCAGCACTAGGATAGCTGCATGTGAGGCAGCACCGGTCGTTTGACTCCAAATCCGACTTTCTTCGGGCGTCGAAAGCTCAGACTGCAGGATGGCCAGGGCCCTTGCACGAGCAGAGAAAGGCTTCTGACAACAGAAACTTGTTCAGGTTCATACACCATGTTAAGGTGCTAGAGAAGGAAGCACGTTGCCACGCATTTTCTCATTCTAGGCTGTGAGCATGAAGCATCGCGCCTCTGCACTCAATCGCATGGGCAACCTTGCGGTACTTCTGCTGCCGCTTCCAGAAGCAGGGGTAGTTTGCAAAAGTGCACATCCATGGTCCTGATGCTTCTAAAATGCGCGCTTGTGGCGTTTGCTGCTGTGGAAGCCGTGCGATTTGACACTGCAAGCCGCAGTGTGGAGCCGGTGGCAATCAACACGGTCCAGAAGTGCGGCGACATGTCTATGCATGTTTCGGGAACCTCCGACGAGGACGAAACCATTGACGAGACTACGTGGTTGGACTCTGACATTGTCAATAGTTTCGGCGGTTCCTCGCTTGAGCTAGATAAAGTTTGTTTATTTACTAAATTTTACTAAGGTCTATCCAGTCTGGTACGGCGCATTCTCGCGATGAGTAGCTGAGGTTACCCGATTTTCCAGCGGCAGACTTCCGAAGGCAGGCGTCTGCAGTATTATCTTGGTTGCAATCACACGGGGCGCGCGGTCCTGTATTTCGACGAGCTTGATGACGATGGGGAGCCTGTGTCCGTCCCTTAGACTCTTAGGTTCTAGGATTGAACGACAACAAGCTGACAACTGAATTTGGTGATGCCAGTTTGCATAAAATGGGTACATATGTCAAAGTCTGCGGTAGTCAGACGTGGCGAAGATTCTGTCACTGTGCCACATCATGCAACCTGTCCTGGTGCATGCTGGCATTTACCGTGCCGCCGCTTACTCCATGCTTCGTAGTGGTGGCTTTGTTTCTAGCCGCCGTTCCTGCTGATCCTTGTCTTTTCTCATGCGGTCGCACCTCTGTGTCCTGGCTTCTTGCTCCAGCCGGTTTGGACGGCATGGTGGCGGTGTGGGAGTGTACATGGCGCTCCAGGTGAAGCGCCGGCGCTCTAAGTAAAGCGCCCGTGGCCCATTGGGCCCACTCCCCTTCTTGTTCACTAATTAATTCGATGGACGTCAGGCCCGAACCAAGATTACGTCCATCCGCGAGCGCAGAGGGTCAGCATAGCTTCCCCAGCGAGCACTGCAGGAGGCACATATATATATATATATATATACATACTATGAGTACACATATATGTATGTACACATCTACGCACATGGCTTGAGGCTATAACCTGTCCGCTGCTTTTTGCGCAAGAAGTCGACATTCGATAGACAATAGACAACAAGACGCCAACGACAACCAACACTGCAGAACTAAAAACAAGACCGAAAGAAAGCACAAACCAAAACACCAACAACAACAACAGAAGAAAGCAACACCAGAAACGCCCAAATCACCAAGCTGTTATGTTATGTTCACGGAAATCATCAAGTTTCTCCGAGATCTCCGAGTCGAGTGAGAGGAATGCAGTACGGTGCACGAGCACTACCCGTTTTCGGTGTGCATGCAACACTGCATGTAATTGCATGTAGGTAGTCGCGACATGGGTTCTTAAAGACGGGAAACATGCGCATACAGCAGACAATCAATAGCTTTCCCAGAGGCTCCATATATACTACCATTATGGAAATAGGCCCCAAAAGACCATCCTTATCATGGCTTTTCCAAAATTGTAGTATGTGTGGAGCCTCTTGGATTGAAAGCGCATGCATGCGCGCTCGCGCACGTGCAGAAACAGATACACAAAACAAACACAAACACCAACACAAACACACGCACACACACACAGACACGTAGACAAAATCACAAAGAAGCCTACGTGCGCACCCTCACACAAGCCCACGCACACCCAAACTTACACCCACACCCCGTTTCGGTCACTACAACATTATGTATAGCTGTCGCCTAGTAGTGGTACTGCTGTTGTTGTTGTTGTTGCGACCAGAGCTGTTGAAACTTGCACAGCCATTCCAATTTTCTGTGTGTTGTTGCGAGTGCGTTTGCGACGGTTTGTGAAGGTACGCGCGTTTTCATTCATGGCATGCTCATGCTGTAAGCTCTTGACACTCGGTGATGTTTCCTGCTATCGTTTTTTGTTGGCCGTGCTTGGTATTGTTAGGTAGTTTCTGCCTCTGGAAATAATACGGTTCAACAGGTAAGCAAGCGCACACTCGCAGAGCTAGACGCAGCTGCTACAGACGGCATGCAGTGCAGTGGCATGGGCTTGTCAGCATGTCGGTTCCCGCAACTGAGGCCCGGCACTTTCGCAGTCCGTCAGCTGGAGATTGGACAGCCCCTGCGAATTTACGTGGGCTTGGACGGAGAGGGAGAGGAAGCAGCTGAGTTCTCGTGGAGCCTTCTTATTCTGGAGACCCTGGTGCAGGGCGTAGTGACCTTCTGGGAGGATTCTGGAATCAGGTACATGCGGCTGGCCTTCACTAAAAAGGGTCAGAAACAGCAGTAGCTGAAGCATGCTGGAGTCGGAGCATATAATTATGACAACAGCAAGCTCTGCGATTATTGCTAGTTGCTACTGTGATGCGGTCAGCATCCTTGCTGTCTTTGTCACGTCCAGCGGTGCCTTTTTTCGGCAAATGACCCGAGGGATTTTATCGGACCTCCGCCTCCGGGTTCTGCAATGACAACGACATCAACACCAAGGAGCCGGAGTGGGTTCCAAAGACAAGCCGGCTGAGCAATGTCATGGCGTTTTGGGCACTTCGTGGGTTCCTGTTTAGTGGTTCCGTCCTCGTGCTTCATTGGTTCTCTCTAATTTTCGCTGTATGTTCGGATCGTTAATTACAAGGCTTAACGGACTAGGAATGCCAGTCTCTGCCTCTTCTGTGGGCCCGACCATGTTCCACCATGAAGGACTATTCAACCGCAGTCCGCGTGGCGCCGAGCAAGGCGCAGGCTATGGTTCGTCACGACCTCCACTCCAGAACCGGAGCCTGCAGAAGACGCAGATGAGAATCCGATCTGCAGTTTCAGACCCCCCGACCTCGCGATTACGGGCCTACTCCTAGGCATAATATCATGTGGGCCCTTCATGGGAGATGCCTCTCTCGAGAGTCCCCAAGAGGATTCAGCTCAGGAGCCCCAGCGAAGCGGACTCGGACATCGTGAGCGTCCAGACCGGCAGGGTGCAAAAGGCTTTGCAGCTCGATCCTGGGACCCAGGACGCGTGCTTGGCTTTGGTAGTTCTGTTTTGCCGCTGCGGTCGACCGCAGTTGCTTCTGTTGCGATCGCGATAGCGGCTGGAAGACCCCTAATGGCCCTAATGGCATGAGTAACCCTGATCATCATAGTCACAGCAGCTATGCCGTTCGGTGCTTTGGGTGAGTTGAGATTGGATAAGTCCCACATGGACTCATGTTTGATTTTAAGGAGGCTTCGGACACGACAGCTGTGGATCCTGCTTCTCCCCATCTTCGTGGCCTCACCTTTTGATGCTTGTCTGCGCAGTGGAGGGATTTCCAACATCGCTATGTTCAGGTGGAGGGGCCCCACGTAGATCACGGCCCAGAGTATACTGCCACAACTAGGCTGTAAGCCAGTATTGGCGATTTCTGAAAAGTCGGGGGTTTCCCCTGTGGTTCATTATGCGATAAGGGAGGATTAGCGTCTACGTCTGGGCTGGGCCTCTCATTTCCAAAACTCCCGTGACTCCACTGTTTTCGGATGCAGTTTTGAGCCCGGCTGAAGGTCACAGAGGAGTGACCCTGGAAATCCAGGGCACGATGGACCGGACGGCCTCCAACAAATCCGTCCTCAAGCCTGTGCATCAAAAAGTCAAGGCACGCATCTGGGCAAACTCTGATGTGCAGAGGCTTTTGCTGTTGGCCATAAGGCCCAGGCTTGCTTCAGACAGCAAGTGCAAGCCTCTCTGCCTTCCAGACGGTGTCGAATTCCAGTGTAATTCTGCTATCTCTTGCAGCTCCATGGTTTCTGGTGTCCGACCATGATGCAGTGGGTCACCCCCGCGGCAACTCGGGCTCAATAGCTAGCATGTTGGTGTGCTTTTGTCAGGTCCCAGCGTCCTTTTACACCAAGCTGGGGGGCATGAGGATCTACACCAAGCAAGCACACGGCTGCATGGCTGTAGCAGACTTTAGGTGGACTGCCCTCATTAAGGCGACGCCAAAAAAACTAAGGGCAGCTGGACAAGGTTTACTTCCTGCGCTGTGATTACACGAACGGCCAGCCCTTCTTGATCATGCGCCAGGGCGGTGATGTGCAGGTGGGCCGTTGCTTCAACATGATCACGCACACACACACACAGTTTAAACGGGGATGTTTCGGGTTCAGAAATGGTGACAGACCAAAGGTCAGGCGCTTCAACATCAAGTGGTGGAGGACGACAAGCATTTCTGAATCGCTTGGGGAGCGGTTGACGCTCCTCGCCGACCCCACCTCCGTCCCCTACCCTGTTGTGAAGGGATACATCACCGTCACGCCGGACTAGCGCGCAAGTCGGGAAAACGACGAAGGAGCAGCACCGGCCATTGTACAGCTTCTCACGCTGCTTGCCGTGCTGATCTCGCAAAAGTATACCCCGACGTCTGGGCCATGCCAGCCCTTCTGCAAATTCTCAGAAGCCATGCACCAAGGCATACATCTTCTTGAGTCTCAGGCCGGGGTGTGTAGCGAGCTTTCTGCAAGGACAGCTGTTGTGCGGACATGGGAGTAGGGTGGCTCTAAGTTCCCATTCCCTTCTGAGTATGTAAATAAGGATCCTCAAGTTGGATGGTAAGCATCTTCGAAATGTTGCTGGGCATGTTAACCGCGTCTCTGTGGCAGGATCAGGTTTCTTGGCCAACACACTTCTCAGTTGGCCCGGCAAGGACTTGACGTTGCACAACCTGCCGAGCCTGCGCTGCCTCAAGCTTGGCAATGTGTGCTTGTAGTTAATGTTAGCTAGTGTTTTGCTCTTGCGATTTGAGAACACTATACTCCGCGGGCATAGCTCTCCAACCTCCAGCATTCAGATCCGACATCGTAAAGAAATGGGCAAAGTAGCTCCGACAGGCCAGGCTCGTCAGTGAATTTGTCAAAGGACCTCTGGCCGGAATTGAAATCGTTTCATTTCAACGATGAGAGATATTGTGACAAGTCGTGGCCACGAGGTCCAGTGCTGACCCCTTTTTTTGCCCAGCACAGGATTTCAAGCAAGAGCAAGGCTTGTAGGATAGCTGCAACAAGCTCCAAGCCAAGCAACTGCATAAAAGCCTTTGCTGTTTCTCCGCGAAATCCTGCAGACCTGAAGCTTTGCCCGTGCAAAGTGCTGCAAGGTCGTAGCCGGGCTGCTCAGAGATTTACGGGGCAAATTCTTCAGTGATCCAGCAACCAGTTCCACATGTCATCAGCTTGCCAGCAGACTTTTGCCCAATGGCTGAGAGGCAACAAGGCACACAAAGGCCGTAGTTTGATTGTAGAGAGTTGCTGCGCCTGTTCCGCTGCAGCGTGCAAGAGTCAGGGAGACTCAACATCGAGCCCGCTGCACATATTGAGCGGCTGAATGTATCGGAGACCTTGTGCCGTGATGATGTCAGATCTGACTTAGGAATTTGGGAGGCGGGCCTGCCTTTGGGCAGACATCTAGCCGAGTCATGTATTGAAACTGTTCCAGCCGCTCATAGTGCAAAACTCCTCAGCAGGACAGTCCCGTACAGCAGGTGCTTGTCGGCCCAGCAGCATCTTGAGCATGTCATTCTCGACTTGAATCGTAGGTTCGTCCTAGCCGCCTAGCCACGGGAGGCAAAAAAAGTAAAGCCGTATATAATGGATGGTCTGACTTGGGACTGCACTGATGGTGGGCGACAAGGAATCCAGACGGAGTCTCGTAGATCGAAATGAGCAAGACTCCGCTGGGACCTGGATGGACCTTGTGCGCCTTCCGTGCATGTGCGCTGGTTTAGGAGTTTTCTCGACGCTTCGCTTGCCTCTTGCATCGCGCATGGCGGTGACACCGAGTAGTCATTGTTATGCTATGCAGTTGACATAGCTACAGGTACGACTCTCACATTCACACGGGGTAGATTCGGCTTAGCTTCCGCACATTGAGGCAGGCGGCAGGTGACCAGCCGACGGTCTCCTCGCTTGCCAATGCTGCGACTGACGTGCAACACGTGCTCGATACTTCAATTGCTCCTTGTAACCTTGCGCTGCCACGACAACCAAGCAACAGAGGACTTTGGACAGAGCTACCTGGCAGCTCATGGACTGCTGAAATGCTGCTTGCACAGCGTCTGCACCAACCTCGCTTGTTCGCAGATCGTCTCATGCTTTCCGTCATGTTGACACAATGAGGCATGGTTCTGTGGTTGGTGCAGGGTTTCTTGTCGTTTCGACTATCGGTTGTTTGGACCAGCAAACTGTTTAACGTGAATGCTGATGTTGTTTCTCCACGGCCGTTTGTTTTCCCAGGAGGTTTTGTGTCCGTGTCGCCTGCCTTTGCGGCCCAGTCTCGGCAACGACACGTGCAGCAGAGTCTGAGTTTGACCTACAAGCAAGCAAGGCCAAGTCCATTTCCTGACTCTGACGAGTTTGCAAGGGCAGGTGACCTGGAGCGAGTCGTGTTGTTCTATGTTCCAGCTGGCACTTGGTGTCTTTTCCTTGCGTAGTTGACCTTGGCAAAGGCTTGGGACCTCCTCATTGGCAGTTTTGAAGGCAGGTAGGCGCCAGGTATCCAAGCCGGAGGCACTCCCAAGATCAGCCCCCCGGGAGGGACGAGCCAAAGCCACCACAGTTACCGGTCTTTTATATACTTTGCTGCAATGGCAGTTGTTGTGAATTTGATTGAGCCTGTGCGATTTGAGTCACCAGGTTTCAGGTTTTGTCTCCTTAGTTGCAATGCACGCAGTTTGCCCAGACTTGTACATACAGAGACTTCGTGGCGAAGTGTACGAGGAGTTCGTACAAGGAACCATAAAGCGCCAAGACTCTGGCGATGAAATTGCTCTGTGGAGTCGCATGAGGACATCATAGCGAAGAAGGCCACAAGTTGCAATCTGCAAGAGACCTCATGCTGGCCAAGACGAGCCTGTTGCCCCAATGAAGCTCAGCATCCTCTGGGCAAGGCCCTGGCTTTTCTCCTCAAGGAAGCCCTGTACAAAGCCTACGTCCTACATATCCCGACATGGACCGCTCCAATCGATTCTGGCCTTTGCTAACCGTTGATTAGTTAGACAACACCCAAGAGTGCTTCCGTGTCTTGACTTCTCTCGTGTGACTGTTTGACGGTCCTGAATCTACCGTGAGCTTGAAAGAAACTGGGACGCATGCCAAATGTGGCATTGGTCCTCCGGACTCTGCCGGCATCTTCGAAAAAGACTGCATCCTGCCTTTGTATGTGCTGAGACAGCAAGCACAGGAAATTGGAAAAAACCACGTCTGGTAGGTACTTCTGTAGTTAGTTGTGCGGTTGGAAAAGCAGAGGTGTGCATGCTCGTGCCTGCATGAACCAATGCATAAAGAAATCAACAGGTCTATGCCTAGCCATATTGCGAACCACCTGCCAAATCGGCCCAGCCTTGCTTGCAAAGGAGCGTGTTCAAGTTTGGTGGGCTTGCACTGATTTCCAGCTTGCAGTCGCATCGTTGAGCCCGTGCAATGTTTGCAATACAAGCTCCGTAGGCGCACTCACGTCTTGCCTCGCTATTCTGACACTGCCACGCTTTTTAGTTTGCAGGATGGCCATGCTAGAGGCAGGCTACATGGCGCTCTAAGACTCTAAGCAAAGCGCCGGCGCTCCAAGTAACCATTGGCCCATCGTCCGAGTGACGGTTAGTGATTGTGTGTGAGTGAGTGGCGGAATGATACACGGTACTGTAAAATACTTATGTTTCATTACATTATAGCACATACTCTAGTATTGGGAAGTTCAGGGTTTTATAAGCCTGCACAACTCGGACCAGCCAGGCGAGGTCTGACTGTGTGTGTGTGTGCAGGTTGGGATGTCAGACCTTCCTGTCGTAGGCCAGCAGCGGCCCCAAACTCCAAACCACAAGCTCGAAACAAGGGAGGCATTGGGATGACAGCGGCTTTCCTTCTGCAACTCACTTGGGCTTGCAGTCATGGGAATTTGATCGATGATGTCTGGGTCGTCTCTTGTCTCACACGTTACAGAGGCCAGCAACAATATACTTAAGCGTTACAGTATCGGACGGGAAGTGAGCAGGCCGCGACATTCGGGAGCTTTGGCCAGGGAAACATCGGTCGTGCGCCTCAGTGGATTGAAAAACATGAGACTCCTCGGACCAAGCGATTTGGGCTGTCTTGCGCCCCCCCCCTTGCTTCAGAGCCATGGCGAGCACTTGCCCGTGAGCTTGTGTCATGTTTTTGGGAGTCAGCTCATACAATTTACATACTTACTCATGTTTGGAGCATCGAACAAAAGTAGCAGGGGGAAGCTTCCGGAGTTGATGTGGGTAATTTTGCCTGTTGTGTGTCAGGGACTGGACGATGAGTGACGACGTTGACTGGATACTCGATGATGATGATGGGTGATGAGGATGAGTGGATATCTATCTGTTGGTGAAGGTTTAGCCACCGGAACTGACCCGTTGATAGGGATACTATTACTAGCACTTGGATTGAAACTTGACACCCTACCTCTGCATATAGCGCCAAGATTCTGCTACTAGCCCTGAGCTACAACCTGTACGCTGGCAAACTTCTGCCACTACTTGCAACTCATTTTGTCTACGTCCTTGGCAGGTACATCGGCCTCAAGGTCAGCCTCATCCTGACATCAAACATGCGTCATGAGGCAACGGCAACACGTTTTGCAAGTTTTGTTTTCTTTTGCTTTTAAGTTTCGAGCTGCAGCATTTCATTCAAGACACGAGGGCATCGTCAAGAGCACCAACGAGCCGCAAGGCACAAGTGTTCTTCGGTCGCAAACTCGGATTCGTCCAAGCAGTTCCATGTTCGGATCACCGGGTGCTTCAAGCCAGTCAGGTTGCTGCGCTCCTTTGACAAGGACGACATAGAGGTGCATCAGGCTTAGAAGCCAATGTTGGACATGGCGATGTTGTGTTGTTTGGCATCTGTCTCGGCCAGGCGAGTGTTGGGGGCAACTTTGTGTTCCATGGACAGGCTTGCCTGCACCTTTGCCTTCCGTTCTTCAAAAGAGCCACCAGCATGCGGTAGGACGTTCGCGACATTTACGTGTTTGAGTCTCCGAATCTCCTGAGCAGAGCCGAGCTTGGGTTTTTGATCAGCTTTTAGCCACTGCGACACATGGTGTCATGTCATCTTATGTGGCACGACGCTGAACGACCCAGCCATAGTGTGTGCAACTCAGCCTGGCAGAAGAGCAAAGCAAAAAAAACACGGCAAACAAGAAGAGAAGAAGAGAACAGGCAAAGAAATAACGGGACAAGAAAGGTACAGCAAGGGTGGCAAGAGGGGCGGGGAGAAGGCGGGGGAAGGGGCCCGCAGCTCGGATATGGAGGTCAACGAGTCAACGCCGTGCTAGAGCATTTGGAGTGTTGACATTGTGCTGCAAGTTGGGGCCTCATTATGGTTCTGCGAGGGCACTGCCCGCCCCACCTATGAAGATGGCTATGCCTGGATCTCAGCAGCCGCAGCATGCACTGCGTCTTCAAACTTTTTTCCGACAGGTGCAAGCACTTGTCAACCACTGTGCCCTCTTGGCTTGTTTTGAACACTTGCGCCCGGGACAGCGGGGTCCATGCTTGGAATTGTGCCAGGCACAGTTGGCGAGCATGCTGAAGGATCTAGGCCATGTGTGTGTGTGTGCGCGTTTGTTTAATTGTTTGCTTGCTTGCCTGCGTGCGGGTGCACATGTGCTGAGTGGTGTCGGGAACCATTGTGGCCACAGGCGTTCATGTTCCAGCGTTGCCGCGCTTCGCTCTCACCTGCGTGGCAATTGAAGTCAAACTCCAACGCGGCGGCTGTTTGCCAAGGAGGCTGGGAGCAACAAGGCCTTCTGGAGGCCATTTGTCGGGGTACTCAGCCGGGTGGCCCTATGTCTCACCTCCCACAACCTCCCATTTCCCCGCATGCACTTTCTATCCTGACCCTCCCGCGGAGCATACTCAGTCAGCAGTCACGTTTTGCCGAAAATCACGGAGCAAAAAGTGCGAGTACGACTGTTGGGAAGTATGGCTTCAGGGTCTTCAGGGTCCTGCCTTTTATAAACCAATTTAAATTGGTGTTGGGCCTGGCACACTTCAGCCCTACAATTTAACACCATTTTCAGCCGAGAACCCCCTAAACTGGTTTGTCAAGCCCTGGGAGTAAACCTAAACCCTAAGACCCCGTTGCAGCCTCTATAACCCTAGACTGAGCCTGGGAATGCCGGGGGTTCACCTCAACTAAGACCCTTTGCCTTTGTATCCTTATACCATTGAAAGTTACAACTTACACAGCCCTGCTCCGTATAAGGGAATCGGCGTATCAGCGTATCAGCGAATGCCGGGGGGACGAAAAGCGGAATCGGCAAATCGGGCGTATCAGCCAGGCGGAGGGTGCAGGGTAACGGCATATCGGTGTACATCGGTTTTCGCCGTCGTTGCATGCACGCTGGTACTAGGGAACTGAGTCATTTCCTCAGCTGGTTCAAACCATTTCAAACCACAGCACTCCTTAACTCCTTGTGGGAGGTCAAGTGGGCGAGAAAGCCCCGAAAACAAAGCACAAAACACGTGATCCTCGCCGCGAAATTCGCTTGCTATGATGCAGGATGGTGCAGGCACGTCATCAAGCAGCCGGGCAAAACAAAGCGAGGAAACACGTTGTTGAGTGAGAGTGCAGTGAGCGAACACTTCAGTTGGTTCTGTGGCTGCATTGCCGCCTGAGCGTAGACGTAGCATGGACTTTGCCATGCATCCTGACAGGTATAGGCGATGCAAAATAGAGGCATCACGAAGCTCGCAGTCGTGAATGGAGGACCTGTTGGTCACTGGCCTCTCAGATTGGCAATTGGCAATGCTACGGTAGGGTGCAAAGCCAAAGCTGGTGAGAGGGCACTAGGCGCTTGTACACAGGCTCAGACAGCACAGAGTTGCGTAGTGTTGGATTTTGTGACGTGTCCAAAGGTTTCTTCGGTCTTGGCGTCGTGCCACCATAACGGGATGTTCACCCACATTTGACCCCAGCATGGGAGCCACTTGTAGACGCGGTTAGATGTCAGGGTCCTTGCAAAGTTACCCTCCACTGCTACTCTCGTCGGTTCAAAACACAGCCGTCTCTGGCAGTGGCAATCCCGATGAGCAACCGTAGCGCAGAAACTCGGAGACAGTAAACAACACTTCATCCTGCAAAACTAGGGATTGCTAGCACCGCTGCTAGCTGCTAGCCATCGCTGTGTCGTCTCGCAATACCACGGTGCAACGAACATCGCTTGGCATGGCCGATAAGGTGCGGCATCCATGGCATGAATCCTGTCATTTGATTGGCGCTCTTCTGCATGCCAGGATCTCGTGGACGTGTCAGCTCCGGCACTGCACTTAACCCCTACCCATACAGTCGTGACGAACTTTCATTGAACACGAACCACTCGGCTTGTAGACTCTTGTAGACGATGTAAAGTTGGGCCTTGGGGCTCTGTCTTCTGTAGGTCGACTGCAGGCGTCGCATTTTGCGCAACTACGAATTGTCGAGTTTTTGAGGTTCGGAGCCGGCCATGGAACTGAACAGTTTCCCTTCACTTGGGCGAGGTGTGCGCCGGGCGTCTGCCTTCGCACCCTTCGCCTTGCCTCAGGCTTAGAACGCGGCGCATGCGCCTGTTGCACAGTACCCCCGCCGCGACTGACTCATTAGTGCCAAGCTCACGCAGGGGTCCAGGATACCAGACTGTGTTTGTGGCCCTGCCAACATCCCAGTGCCAGGCGAAGACAAAGAGAGTGGCCCTAAACCCTAAGTTGGCCAATCACGCTGCCTGGGCCTCGCTTTTGCTTCCATGCGGTTCAAGCTTCCACCAAGAGTTAGCAGCGAGTTACACACACACACAGACATCCCTTCACTCCACCATAGCCGGCGCGCGAATCTGGCCATGCTTCTCCGTCATATTCCCAAAATTCAGGTGTTCAAAATTTTTCGCGTGGTGTAATGAATGATACTGGTATCGCTTCGAACCTCAATGAACTGGTCATGCTGTGGGTGCCAAGACGATTTGTCTGCCTGAGGCCCAGTTGGAAAACACTGACATTTATTGTGGTCCCATTTCCATTTCGTGGCGTTCATAGGCATACATATGCAAGTCCAAGTGAGTTGCAGAAGGAAAGCCGCTGCTATCCCAATGCTTCCCTTGTTTCGAGCTTGTGGTTTGGAGTTTGGGGCCGCTGATGGCCTACGACAGGAAGGTTTGACATCCCAACCTGCACACACACACACACACAGACGTCGCCTGGCTAGTCCGAGTTGTGCGGGCGTAATAAACCCTGAACTTCCCAATGCTAAAGTATGTGATATGATATACTGTAATATACGTATTTTACAATACGGTGTATTACATTATAGTATGTTCTTTTATATTATGCACATTGTCATAATTAGTAGATTGTTGAGTTGGTCGAGCTGAGCCCCCATGGTTCCTTGCCGCCATGTCGTCGCAGCAGTGATCTTGCTCCGAGGCCGCGTGCTCGGAGGGTCACATCTTGGCGCACGTGGGTTATAATGACAGTTTAATCTTACACAATATGAATATTCGTTTTGTAGAGTTGAGGGGGTTGTTTTATGTAACAGTTTTTGTAGCTGTGGACTGTGATGCCAGGTGCAAAGCAGATCCTGGCAAGAAACTGTGGATTGACAGTATCGGGCGACTCGGCAAACGCAAGACAGACTCAAACTCTGGAGGTCGATGGGCGTCCTTGGTGTAGAGCACGAAAAACGACTGGTATCTCTTGCCACGGATTCGCGCAGACAGGAGGTTTAAGATACGCGGGTGCAACCACTAGGGTCAATCATTCCAATCTCAGGAGCAAAGGCTCCTGATGAAAAGTTTGAGCCACTGCGAGTGGGCGATCCAGATGCCGTAGACTTGGAGGACGTGAGAGAATGGGTGTCGCTGCTTGTGGCACTTGCCAAGTAGGATTTGCTGGAGTTCCACCTGCGATGCTGCAGCAGAGGACTTGCTGTTCTCGGAGCCTTCTGCTCATGATTGGGGCAACATTCTCAGACATTGCAAATCCGGTGACGGCGACAGTGACTCATGCCTTACGTTTGGCATCGACGAGTGGCAGCTCGGAAGAGAAGTGCCAGTGGCTAGTGTGCGTTGACCGAGTCAACATGCTGCAACTCCTCCTCTTCCAGCTCCTCCTCGCTGTTCGTCATTTTGGTGAACTTGCATGCCCGTCACATGCGGGGCAAGTGCCAGCCGAGGAACTCGAGCTCTTTCCAGGCACTAATCCACGAAGGCGTCGGCGGACGGCCCTGTGAGGAGGATTATGCGCTTGTCGCCGAAACGTGCGGAGGTGGGGTCCAAATCGGCTGAGGCACTGCAGGCAACGCTTCGCAGCCGTTTCGTTGATGGTATCAGTATCTGAAGTCTTGTCGAGACAGTCTACTGCACATTCCCAGCCAGAAGCAGGTCAGGTGGCGTGCCAAAACATCGAGGGACAGATCCGCATTGTCGGATTTGCTGGTGAACTGGGTAGCCAGACAGACTTAACAAAGCTGTCCGCACTGCCTTACCTGCACCTCGGTATGAGTTAACATGTGTTTTGACATTGCAAGATGTAGGAAACAACAGAGATTGCAGCATTGATCGGGCTGCGGTCAATTGAAATCACACACGCCAGACGACATCCAATTGCAATCAGATACACAGTCTATGACATGGGGCTCCGCGGAAGAGCTGTCGGACCGTTCGGTTGCTTTCGGCACCCTTATAGTACCCCTGCAACTACCCTTGTAGCACCACTGATCGTATACAAAGCGTCGATGGAGTGCTAAACCAAGATCCGCCGCGGTTCTGAGAGGGCCGGCCAAGAGCGATGTGGAAGGCCCGGCCTGCAAGTTTTGTAGGACTCGACAGGTACGAACAGGTTACTATGAGGGTATGATGATCAGGGCACTCGAAGGGTACTACAAGGGCACTATCAGCACTATCAGGTACAATCAGGGTACTACGGGCACGAGAAGGGCCACGGTACTATTAGTCAATATAGAGGTGTTCATTTCCGAGTCGGGCTTCTTCGTTTGGCCATGCAGTTGCGTCTTCGTGTTCCTTCCGGTAAGCAATGCTAGGTTCTATGCAATTGTAGACACATCCTGTGCTTGAATTGCTCGGTTCCGGTGCAGGTCACTCTTGGCCATTGCTGCGGTTCCTTCGGCTGGAGGCCAATTGAATGGGTGGTTGGATTTTCTTATAACTAGTGTGCATCGTTGTATTTGGATCCTGGTATCAAGCGTCTCATGTGGATCTTTCCAGCTGACCTTTCAGGCGCCAAGCCAGGACGTGGTGCAGACTGTGGCGAAGGCACTGCAGGGGCCTCCTGGACGACGGCTCCGGAGCTTGCAAATCTACGGTCGTCAGGACCTCGGGAGCGGGGTTATCCAAATCATGTCACGTCCTACGAACCCCGAAGAGGGGATCCCTGAACCCAATCACCCTACATGCTTTTCTCGTTGGTGCGCATTGAAGTCCCTGCTTCACACGCCCTGAATTAGCTGGGTCCTTCCTCATGCGACGTGTGGAAGTCTCATTTTTGTGAGCAGCGTCTGGCCCGCAAGCAGACAGCATGCAACATTGGACTGTCGTTGATGTGAGTTGCTGGCTCGCAATGCGAGCTCTATCCCCGATGAGCACTGCCCCGACCGTTTGCTTTCTATGGTTGAGAACACAACAACACAGAGCCTCCGACGGCGGCAGCAGCTCCAGCAGCAGCCCTGCCACCACCACCACCGCCACCACGGCCACGACTACGCTCACCAGAGCAACTGAAGCGCCGCTGTTCTAATCTTAAACATCATCACCACTCTCACAACTTCAATCGCCACCACCACTGTTGCTTGTGATCAGGCTGCCGCCGTTTCTCACACAGGGATCTGACCAGACTCGGACTCCTGGCCTACGGCGCGAGCCTTCGGGAGCGTGCCGAAGGGGTCGGGAGCATGCCAAGGATGACCACTAAAATCTTCATCCATACCACAGGCTTCTGCTCATGTGGTTATCACCGACCCGTCACAGAATGCGTGTGAACATACATCCAAGCATGCATGAATGCTGTTTGGAGGATGTGCTTCGGTGGACCCCAATCGATCTGGCTGAGTTTTGCGGCCTCGACCTTGTTCACTTCACTGCGTTCGCCCTACGGTGGCAGACAGTGGATTACTGGAAACCTACTCACCTATGCATTTACCTACCTGCCCTGTTTACTTACCTGCCTAATTACCTACTTACCTCGCTACCAAACCCACCAACCCACCTTCCTACCTACTGACGTACATACATACACACACACACACACATACACAGCCATACATCATCATGCATAATCTGTGCAGTCATGCGAAGTCATTCACATTCATTCATACATAATCATGCATAACTTAACCATGGAGACTATTTCATGCCAACCTGGAATGCCGATATTGTGTTGCTCGTATGTGACCCTGCATCGTAGGTTCGTCCTAGGCAGGCGGGAGGCAAACAAAAACACACTCACATCTGCATGCCTAAATGCATGCAGGTATACATGCTTACTTGCATCTATTTACACAGATGGGTATGTATATCCATCCATGCGCTTGCTTACCTATCTAGCTATCTACCTATGTACCTATATGGCTAATTACCCATCTATTGATCCTTCGGTCGATCTACAATGGCAGCGACGGTTCCTGGCGCGGAGTTTGCTGTACTGTAATACCACTGAGGTTATTCACGTCGCTGGTGGTGCACTTCCCGAATGCTGGAATAAGATGAGGAACTTGAGAAACTTTTACTGTTCCTAGGCTGGTTTATGTCCCGGCGCACATTCTCAAGTCAAGCACCTTTCCCGGGCGGGAATATGTCAATGCAGTTTTTGGTTCCTTTGGCTCTTGAGCCAAGGCTCCAACTGCATGATGTCCCATCCTCCGACAGCGTTGAGGGGATTGCAGTCCCTGAGATCCTTCGTCGCCTTTCGACAGTGGGCATCTTGCCACCCTACGGACATGTCAGGGGATGCAATGAAGCAGTGGGCGGTTGCGAGTTGTTTTTCGGTGCCTAGGAGATGATTCCGTGCGCCCTACAGCGCTTGTCGAGAGGTGGCTGCAAAGCCTCCTGGGAGACCCGTCATCTCTTCAAGGTCCAGCCGAGGGATTGAGGGCAGCAGCGCACGGATTTCAATACTAAGTGACTAAGTGTCTTCACAGGGCCCGGGCCTCAACTCCGTCAGCACACGCCCCCCCCCCCCGCCTGGATTGGAGGACGGCGGCCGCGCGACAAGTACTGGTACCTGGGGAGATTTCCAGGAAGGGCCCAGCTTCCTTTGTCCTCAACACTCCTTCGGCTTTGCCTTCGAGGAGTCGGGCTTAGACTAAGCCAGAATTGCAACAGCAAAGTCGTGATCCTTTCCGCTGTCATCGTAGCCGGTACAGGCTCGCTGTCTGAATGGAGGAGTTTGTGAAGCTTGGCTGGAGCAACATCGAGAAGGTTTGGCTAGATGGGAACTTTCTCACCGGCAAGATACCTGAGCCTTGCCCAATCGCAGTTGTCGCATGAGCAGCAATGGCCGCAGCAAGCAGTTGTCGTCGCCGTCGCACTTGTCACCACATTATTTTCTGTAGAATCTGAATGACATGATGATGAAGAGTTGGGCGGTGACGATGACTGCGTCATTGCCATGAGCATCGTCGTCGTTCTTGGGCGAAGAACATTATACTTCTTGGTCGTCGCCGTCACACCTGCCACCACATCATCTTCTTTGGCATCATGATTGTCACGCTGCATCATTGTCGTCGTTCTTGGGCTGGCAGGTAGATCACGGTACCTAGTCTTCGTTGCCGCCGTCGCCATCACGATCATCAGCAGCATGATCAGCATCACCATGATAGCCATCTTTCTCATTCTCTTCACGACCAAAATCATTATCATCCGTCCGTTGGTCATCTTGTGCACCATGGATCATCGGCATGAGCAAAGTCGACCTTGCAAACTTGCAATCTACGGGCAGTCACGTAGAGCTTCAAGCTAAGGAAGACATCGCATCACGGTGGCCGAAGTTGAAGTCCTTGGATTTGTATGACAATGACCTGGAAGGCCGTCGCCAGTCGGATTCCAGATATTATCTAGAGACCTGAACGCCCTGAATGACCCCCTATCTTGGCAGGACCTCTGCCGGAGTCTTTGGGAACTTTGCCTTTCGTGAAGCTGCAGTCGCGTGGCTCCACAACAGACCCACGCAGCCGAAGGCCTTCAAGGTTTCAGAAGCTGTCCAGACCAGGCAAGATCAATCAAGACGTCCTATCTTTAAGGCACTATCGGTGGTCTCTGAACCAAACCAGCTTTAACGAAAGCTGCGTTTTAACCAGTTTGATAAGGGGTCAGTGAGCATCGCAAGCATCGGGCTGCAACGTGAGGCTTCAAGCCAACAACTTTGCAGGCACGGTGCCGCAGAATGCCATGCCCTTGGATGCTTCAAAGTAGCTGCAGCGACTCTGAGCAGGGTCAGCAGCTAGCAGCTGCTAGCACCATGTCTGGAGTTCAGCCAAAACAGTGCCACCTAGTGCCACCTACCTGTACTTACTCACCTTCAACAGACCAAGAGGCAGCATCACCGTTATCACTACCATCACCGCCGGAAAAGAAGATAGCTGTCATCACCATCATCATTCACAGCGCACGCAGCACCATCATGACCGTTACCGTCGCCATTGTCCACACCGTCATCTCGCGAACCACTGACATCATCACCGCCACAACTTCCAGCACTGCAAGCACCGACGTCGGCATCAGCGCTTAGCAAAGCCGCCGCCACCACAACCCCACTTCACCACGGCGATCCTCGTAACATTCCAGGGTGGATCATGGCAATGGGCCTCACACCCTGCCGAAGCCGATGTGTTTGTTTCCGACGCCGAGGTTTGGAGTTTGACTCAGAGGCCTCATCTTATCCTGGGACTACAGGACCACGCAAACCTGAGACTGTTTTTGGCAGGCCTCTGCAGGCACGGCTTGCCTTTGCCACGTGGCAGGAGAATGTCAACCTGACCGGCTGCGCAGCGGTCGGTCACTGGGAGCACGGCGTGCCAGGCACAGCGGGTGCGGGAGCACAACATTACGGCATCCACTGCTCGGGGCACCCATACTGGCGCGAGACACAGACAGGGCCGACCCGTGCTTGAACCGGCCAAAGCTTTTAGTTTCCACTTCACTGCCAATTTATCTGAGCCTAAGAGTTGAAAGAATCAAACGTCTGGGTAGCTTGATCTGGAGAGGGAGTCCATGTCCCTAAGGACGACGAAGACGACAGCACAGAAGCCATCGTGAATAATCTAGGAGCGTCGACTGACACCCGTGCCAAGGATAGTAGTGAGACTGCATCAGATGAGATTGTTCCCACGCGTTTGAAGCGAGAATGCTGTTTTGGAAGGCTCCCGATTGTCAGGTCAGCGATGTTTATGCAAGTGTCAGAGAATGGGGGGGGGTCACTTGGCCATTCTGGGACCAAGCGATGAAGATTCGAGTGGTCAGCTTAGCTCTCGTGCTCCAGTCAAGGGTCCTGACCGTGGAACGGAACCCCACGCGAGAAGCACGTGCGTCACGCAATGCGGGGAGGCTCAGGCATGCCTGTTGATTCAGTAGGCCGAGGGTGAAGGTATCATCGGATATCCGTGAGCAATTGCTTGAACTGATGCCGGTTCAGAGCAGTCCGGCCAAGAAGATGCTGTCTTGTTGTGCGGCGCATGCATGAGTTGCAGGTGACATGATATGTCTGACCTGCCGGCCAGGCACTGCAATCGGTTCCTGCAAAGCGGAACTTTGAAGCCTATGTCGCCTTGGAGCTGATCCTTGTAAAGCACATCATCAAGGACCCGAGGCAAGGCCGTGATTTTGTCGCTTGCAGTTCAAACCTGCCTATGGCACGGAGAGCTTAGCCGCCAAGCTTGAGGGCATCGAGCAGGAATCCCCCGGCACGAGCAAGCAGGCGCAGAAGGAGAACGAAACTACTGCTTTCTGGGAGAATTCACATTGAGCAATGTTGTGCATGTCTGGTCGTGGCTCGTAGAATGGATTTTTGTAATGCCCGGGACTTGCGAGTTCTACTAGTAGTGGACTTCCTCGTATGGGTTCGACGTGGCGCTGCTGTGCTCCAACAGGTGGACAGCGGCCGATGCTGCGAAGCTAAATGCACGGGACTTCCTGACGAGGCGTCCAAGACATGAAGCGAGGAATGCCGACGATGCAGATAGCCCCTTCAAGCCAATGGTCCTTCAACGTGGTTCAAAATCCTGGCATCCGGTCAGGCAGAACATTCTTCTTGAGGTTTCTCAGGTTCCTTGCGCTGAAGAACCGAAGAAGCGTAGCTCAAAAAGTGGAGAATGCGGACGATGCTGCTCTTCCGCGCCAGGGCGTTTGCCACACAGCATGCTGTCCAGCATGCGGCCAGGTGAGTTTTGCCTTTTCAGTGGCTTCGAGGTGCAACCCCCAAATAGAAGAACTGGACCTAGACGCCTTGGCGGTGGTGCAAGCCCGAAGACTGCAAGTGTGTGTTCCTTGCCATGGCGTGGCTCGTTTCCCCCAGCTCTCCGACGCAGGCGCGGTAGTGAGGGGCCAGTCTGCTGAGGGCTACGGACCTTTTGTGGGATTGCATGTAGGTGACGATCAAGAGGTCACATTAGGTCAGTCTGTATCCTGATTACGTTCCAGTGCTGGACGTTGACAGACACCTGCTCAGCAAGCCTCGCGTGCGTCTAAAGTCCGGGTCATGGCCTGCGGCTCGAGAGAATGTGAGCTTGCAAGTAGGTAGTAGTATCATCCATTGCTATCTATGTCAGATCCAGGTTGGGGCATGAGATCGATTCCATAGTTGAGATCAGTTGGCATCGAGAGCAGCACCAGTTCAGGGATTTCTGTGCACCGTGGTAGGCATCCGAGGGCTGCTGCAAAGTCTGGCGCCATGGATCCGGCTGAAGTTGAAATCATTTCTGTGCTCATTGCCTCGCAAAAAGTCCTCTGCGTTCGCATAGCATCGGAATCGCCTTTGATTGGTCAAACTGCGCATATTCTGGATGGGTGCTTAGCACATCTGCAGATGAACAGAAGCCGCATGGAGGCCGACGAGACCGATGTGAGTGGACAATTGCTTCCAGTCTTACGCGCAGCGAGCACTTGGCCTGACGCCAAGAATGCTTCCCTGCTAGAGCTTGAAGGCACCCGGGCCGTCGGAGTGGGATCAAATATCAAGGCTAGGCGGCGTTCCGCGTGGCTTGCAATGGCCTTGGCCTTCGTGGTGTCGGCCGGGCGCCGTGGGCACAACCCTCACCAGCTGACCCGGCTTTTGGGTGATTACGGCCTCAATAATTTAGCCACAACAGCCTGGCACGTGATGTTCAATAGGCCTGCTCTCAATGCCCCTGAAGCACAGCCGCACACGCAGGGCGGGGTCCCCAGCTCGCCTGATCCTGCCGCAAGTCGGCCGAGTCGGCCGGAGCCCTCTGAAGGCTCCCGATGGAGGGGGGAGGAAAGGAGGCAAGAGCGCTCCTCGAACGGCCGCTGGCGTGAGGGGCAGGTTCCACAGGAAGGCATCTGGCCCGGAGGCACGGCAGCTGAATTCCACCAGCCGGTGCCGGAGCCTGTCTCCGTTCAAATTCCCTCACATGTGGGCACTGTACTGGGCTCGGGCCACATGGCGCCTGGTCCTCAGCAAAAGGACACCCGCTGGCGCGACGTGCAGATTCCCCCGACTCCCACGTTGGCGGATAACTTCGACTTCGCGATAAGGCTTTATCCTGGTCTCGTATCCAACGCCAGTCGGGTCCTTGTCTTCAACGCCCCAATCGGTGTTGAGGAATGCTGAACATCATTGGCAAGCTATAGGGCCTTAGGGTTTGGAATGATACCTGCGAAGCTCCGAGCACAGCCCGAAAAAAGAGACGCTCTTGTGCTACGGCTCCTGTGCACTTCATCAGCCGATTTGGTGTGTGAATTGTCCACCGGCGAGGTGCTGCGGGCTTCTGCGAGGCTGGCAGTCTTCTTGTGCAGCGAATGCAAGACTGGTGAGAAAACCATCTTGTGCTGTGATACCGTGAATATTATCCTGCTCGTGTCATGGTGACGGTTCTTGTGCCACACCGATATAGAAACAAAGAGCCACTTGAACCCGAGAATGCCTTCGTGATTCCTCTCGCTAAAAGAATCCCCCTCTGGCGGCCAGTCCGTGACCAGGATACCTTTCGATGCCAATGGGACCTTGCGCTGCTTGCCAAGTTGTCAGAGGTTTTTGAGGTGCGGTAGGATGCAAGAACAAGTTTACTTGCTTTTCGAAGCATGTGATGTACTGCTGTGCATCTTTGGGGCGGAATGGCCAGAATCGGCGGACCTCGGCCATGGAGTAGGACTCGGCGAACCCGGCGAACTGTGCTTGGTGGTCATGCACCAACGGTGTGTATGGATCCCAGTAGTGTCCCCCACCAGGCACAGAGAGACTCGAAAGGAAAGGGAAACAAAACGATGCAGAGAGTCTCGAGAATGTAGAAGACGGTCAGTGAAGACTGTTTCGTGTTTGGAGATTCAGCCTTTTCGATCGAGATTGAAAGATCACAGGATTAAGCGGTTCAAGTGCGCATCATGTTGAGGTTTGAGGACAGATCGGGGGGGTGGGGAAAGTCGGAGGGGTGGAAGTGACGACAACCGACTCTGTGTGTCGGCCAAGGCGTACGAAGACGCCTCTCGACGGCCGCGACATCCGGGGCCGCACGGCGTACATCGGTGACACACGGCGTTGTCCTGCAAGTGTTGCAAATGTGCTGCCTAGGTGCATTCTGGGTCCGGACTTCGCAGATCCAGTTTAACTATGAATGCCCAGCAGTCGGGGCCGCGGGCAATTGCCGGCTGCTAGCTGCTAGCACAAGGTAAAAAAAGTGAACAACTTGGCTTTGTGCTGCATGCCTGGGCTGACAAATGCTCTTAACTTGACTCGGCACATGGGGCTGGGCTCAGGCACCGTGGACTTGGAGTAGATTTAGAGTGTCAGGAGGAATGGCGGTCTTGGCCGCGGCCAGATCGCTGTGTTTGCTATGTTTTTGGCCGTGGTTGCTTGTGCAGCCTGCGATAGGACTGCTCTGCCCCGAGATCTGTTCCGGGGCCACGACTGATGGCCAAAGCTATCCGTGCCGCTACTATTCCAATAACTGCGAAATTCATCCGACTCCAAACCCAGCACGGAACGCGGCGCGCGATCTGAATGTCCTGGTCATGCTACCGTACACAGGCCCGATCGGAAACACCGCGACGATGGCCGAGCCGCTCCTGCTAGCTGCCACGCAGGAGATCGAGGATAGCAACCTGCTACCTGGATATAGGCTCAAACTTCACATGGTGGACGAGGCCTGCTCCGGACAGATAGCTGTCCATAGGGTCATCGAGTCCATGAACACGGCCCCACAGAAACACATTCTACTCGGTTGCGATTGCTCTGCGTCGAGTCAGCCAGTAAACCATGCCTTGTACCACTACAAGATCATGCAGGTCTCTCCATTTTCCATCTCCGTGGACCTCAGCGATCGCGATCGCTACCCTTACTTCAGCCGCATGGCGCCCTCCTACCGCATCACCGTCATGTCAGCTGTCGAGATCCTGAAAAGCTTCCAAGTCCAAAGAGTTGGTTTCGTGCATGGCACGGCCGCCATCTTTGTCGGACTTCGGGACCTTTTTCGGGAGGCTGTGCAGCGCGACACCGAAGCCGGCACCTACGCTTGGACGGTGCTTTTCGAAGCGACCGTGGCCGACCTAGACTCTGCCGCAGCTGCGGTAGATTTGAGGCGAGAGCGAGATGCCAAATGGAGTGTCTTGGCGTCATATGAGGACCATGGAGCCATGATTCTCTGCCAAGCCTACAGGCACGGCATGCTTGCGCCAGACTACAATTGGTTGTTGCTGAACGGTTGGTGGAACCCGAACTTCATCAATGCTAATGCTGGCAGCCCTATGTGTCCTTGTGCCGCAGACGAAGTTCTCCATGCAGCCTGGGGAATGATAGGATTCACCTACAGCCCCCTGACGGAGACGAATGAAGTGCATGGACTGTCGGGCCGAAGATTTGCAGACATCACCGCCGACTACTACAGAGAGGCCGCTGCCTTTGGCAATGGGACGGGAATCTCTTGGAATGCCATGGGCTACGTTTATGATGGACTTTGGCAAATAGCATCGGTCCTTCACGGCTTTCTGATTGATCAGAACAGGTCTTACGACGAGCTCAACACCGACTTCTCCCGCGAGTCTCTGTACCAGCTCACTCTTCAGCAGGACTACATGGGAAGCAGCGGAAGGGTGCGCCTCTTCAACAGTGTGGATCCTACCACCACTCCACCTTCCTTTGGAGACCGAGAGGGTGCAGTCCTTATGCTACAAGTCGCGGCCACGGTCATGCAGCCCTTCGAGCAGCTAGGCATTTGGACCCCTGCAGGAGTTCAGTGGCTTAGAGACATCACCTGGAGCGCAACAGACAGCAGCAAGAGCACGAGCTGCAGCAGCGGGACTTGTGACATGTCCACAGGCTTTCTTCCCGTAGATCGAAGCAGCGAGTGCCATGCTGGAACCATCTGGTTCAACGACCTCGGCTGCACCGACTGCCCCACTGGCCGCTTTGCGGCTTTCGGCATGACTCAATGTGATCCCTGCAGCACCGGCGCCTTCAGCAATGTCAGCGGCTTGGCCGAATGCTACCCGTGTCCAGCTGGCAGCATCAGTGAAGAGCGGGCCGCGGCTTCCTGCACTTTTTGCCAGCAGGGCTTCTTCGTGAACCAGTCCGGCATGTCCCAG